GGGCGGGGCGAGGCGCGGCGTTGCCCGGGAGACGGGAGCGCGCGTCTTCGCGTCCCCGAGCACTTGTGCCCTCGCTGTGCCGGTGTAAGTGACACCGCCGAGCCTCTCCGTGAGGGGCGAGCGCCGCGACAGCGACCTGCAGGGCGCAGAGGGGACCAGGTCCTGACAGGCTTTCAGGCGGGACGGGTGTGCGTGTGTGTGTGTTTGGGGGTGTGTATGTGTGTGTATGTGTATGTATGTGTGTATATGTATGTATGTATGTGGGTGCGTGTGGGTATGGGGATGTGTGTGTGAGAGTGTGAGGGGGGAGCTGTGTGTGTGTGTGTCTGCATGTCTGTCTGTGTGTCTCTGCATGTCTCTGTGTGTGTGTGTCTGCATGTCTGTCTGTGTCTCTGCGTGTCTGTGTGTCTCTGCATGTGTGTATCTGCATGTATGTGTGTGTGTCTGCATGTATGTGTGTATGTGTCTGCATGTCTGTGTGTGTGTGTGTCTGCATGTCTGTCTGTGTGTGTCTCTGCATGTCTGTGTGTGTGTGAGCATCTGCTTTAGTTGGGGTGGGTTTGTGCAATTAGGAAATGGACCCTGAATTGTAAAAGTTTGATTCGGAGTGAAGCTGCTGGAAACGCCATACATAACTCAGCTGCTGAGTTTCCATGAGAGAAGTTGTAATGTTGGTTTGCGTATGGTGTTTCATTTATTTTTGCATTTAAAAATACTTAATGTGGAAGCGTCAGGATGTTTCAGTCAGATGTGTAAAAACAAGCTCTCCCCGAGTTGAATTTTCCAGTTTAGAAACACGTGGGGGTGTTGTGTGGGGGGTGTGTGTGAGACCAATGTGCCCTGCTAAAGGACGTGAGGTTTTGTTTTGCCTTCTTCAAACAAGCTTCAGCAAGCTCCTCTTGTCTTTGGCCTCCATTGGTTTGGAAAGCTCACCCAAATTTTGCTCTAACTTACCTTATTTAGAAACTCATTTATGTTTTAATTCATTGCAAAATGCTGAATCTCTTGCAGTCCTAGAGGAGCTGTAATTTTTGAGAGAATGACAGACCACAAACCGATGTAATTCTGCATGCACCTACCTGTGTTGACACAGAGAGTAGTTCCACTGACCATGAAGGGGCTCTTCTGTGTCTGAAGCTCACAGTGAAAGGTCTTAGCAGACCATGGTCCATTTCAGGGACCAGAGAGAAGTTACAACGCTGTGGTAATTGCAGCAGGAAGGAAAAATCAATGAAACAGCTAAGAAAGAGGAACAGGTAGTTACAGAATGGGGGAGAAGTTGTTATCATCAGCCATAGTATTGCAGCTGGGAATCAGGAGTGGTTCCAACAGTCCCTTATTTTTCAGAAATGGCTTTTCTGTTAGTAATGGGTGCATTGTGTATGTTCCCTAAATGCTTTTTCTTCTTGTAACTGCTTTTTTTTGTAAAGCCACTTACTTTGTAATTCAGTTCTACCTAAAAGTAATTTTACACATGTGTAACTACTGTGTTTTATAACAAGCTTTTCTTTCTTCCAGCTTTAGATAAAATATGGCTTCACAAGAGGAAAACCAAGCTCAGCCCTTTGCAGACATCTTTGATGAAGATGAAGCTGAACAATCCTTTCTGTTGTCCAAGCCCACTTGCTTCGTTATCTTTGGAAAGCCAGTAAGATGTCTGAAAGAAGCTTTTTCTTCAGATATTCTGCTAACAATTTCACTTTTCCTTTCAAAACATTAGTTTAGTGATGCCACCAAAAGGATAAAACACCTACTCTTTTGTCTTTTCCACTCTTCAAATCCTGCAGAGCATGGTAAAGATTCCAATCTCACATAATGAGGCCAATTTTCGGCCTGAGTGACCAGTCAACCACAATTAAAAGTGTTATTACTGTACTTAAAAGTTACATGTTGCCAAAAAGGTTTCTTCTCTTTTCACATTGACAACTGGATTGTTTTTACGTTTGTGGTGATTTAACCCCTGCTAGAAGCCAAGCCCCACAGAGCCACTCACTCGTCCCAGTGGGATGGGACAGGGAATGGGAAGGGTAAAAGTGAGAAAACTCATGGGTTGAGATAAAGACAGTTTATTAGGCAGAGCAAAAGCCATGCAATGGCTTGGTCAGTTTGGGTCACCTGTCCCATCTGTGCCTCCTCCCAGTCTCCTGCGCACCCCAAGCTCCCTTGCCAGCGTGGCAGTACGGAATGCAGAAAGGCCTTGGCCCTGTGTAGGATCTGCTCAGCAATATCAAGAACATCTTTACATAAGCAACACTTTTTTTGCAGCACAAATCCAAAACACAGCCCCATACTAGCTGCTAGTGAAGAAAATTAACTCTACCCCAGCCAAAAGCAGCCAAACTCTGACATGATTCTATATCATATGTTCAGTAACATCAAAATTCCACCAAGGTGTCGTGATAAGATTTGTACTACACTTTAATTATAATTCAAGGTCCCTCTTTTTCTCAGATAACTTGTGGCCTCCTTTACTTTGATGATTTGTAGTCTTAAACTTCTCAGATCTCTTTTTCCCAAATGTAGGAGACTCTTCATGTGGGTTGACATCAGTGCCTTAATTTGCTGAAGGGAGTTCAGTTTTGGTACAAATTTGCCTTATGTCTACCCTGAATCTGGTGGCACTTAAGCATACCACTGGTGTCCTGAAAGCTGCTTTCCTTTTGTACATTGCAGTTGCCCGAGAGGTGCCTTCAGAGCACCCCACTTCCAATGTAAACACAAGGGCCTCTAGCAGCTTGCCCTATCCATTTGTGTGTGATTCCATTAGGTACCACCACAGAGCCCTAAATGACCCTATGGAAATCCTCTTTGTGCTGCTTAGCAGGTAGACAGGTAAATGCTGTGCACCTAAAACTGGCATTCAACCCAACTTCAATGCCAGTGTTGACCCACCAAGTCAATCTCTAGCCCATCTGCATCTTGTCATAGAGCCATGCTCTGTGGTGCAGGATGTCAGCACATAGTCACATGATGGTGGCAGATTATGTCGTGGAGAATGGCCACAGTGCTAAAATGTGGCTAGGTTTCCTTGTTCCCAAGACTGATCAGGCTGGAAGGCTCCTAGTCCATAATGTTTGTACATGCCTGAGCCCTTTCTTACTCCCTGGCTCCAGCTACTGGGTAGTGCTGGACTCAGCTCTACATCTGCCCCAGCTGAGAAGGGAGACAGGTGGTGTTCTATGAGAGGATGAGCTGCAAACATCACAGTGGGGCTGTATAATGGGACAGCCAACAAGTGTGACTTATGGTCACTGTGAGACTTGAAAGAGCTCAGCTCAGTCCAAAACTACAATGGATTCCCTTATCTGGATTTAAACAAATGTCAAATTTCCAACCTTACATGAAAAAGGTGTTACATTTTTATAGACTAAACCAGCATAAAATGCTTATTGAAAGACAACACCAAAATACCCCCATATTCTCAATAATTGCCTTCAGTCAATGCTTGACATTAATATAGACTTTAACAAATGGTTGGAAGTGCACAGGCCTTGCCAGGAAAGCAGGGAATTAAACAGTCTATTTTTATGATAATACCTTTTATTTATATGACTGATGTACAGAGCACCAGTCTTATTTAAGATAGATCTTTAAAAGCATTGCTCCACTAAAGCAAAACCAAATGCATATGTTCTCACCACACCTGCAACATGTAAGTAGGCTGGAGTGTTTGCTGATATACTGTTAACTGGGAATGTGATTTATTTGTGGGGGTTTACTCTTTTTTAATCACAAAATTTATGTAGGGCAAACAGACTGTCAAAGCAGTTCTTGTATGCCCTTGGAAAGAAGGGCACAATCCTAAGGGTGCAAGATGATGACTTTTCCAAAATCCCATTCAGGTAGCTGTTCTCTTAGAGGCCTCATTACTCTTGGTTATGTTGGTTCCTCAAGATTCATGCAACTGCTAAAATAAACATTTTGTCAGTATCAAACCAGATTTGTGGACTAACAAGGGCAATTTTTATACATGTGTTGTTTTAGTCAGAGAATATTATCCCTATGTATCTTACTTGGAAAGGGCTGAGCAGGTTTGCATCATAATTTGCTTTGGGACCGAAGATGATAAATTTCAGTCTTAAATGGTTTCTCACAGGAATTTGTGGGCAAATCGTAGCTGAGTTTTAGATAGAGTGACTCAGAATAAAGTCAGTATAATTACTTTGGAGATAATTAACAGCAAGGGGCAACAGCAGTATATTAGCAATGCTAGGCAGTAGAAAATAGAGGATGGTATTAAAAAGAGTGTTTGTGTTTGCCCAGTGCATAACTCAGAGGCCCTAAGGGATCAGGGTAGCTTTTAATAGTTTTTATTATATGAGAACATATGCTTTACTGTGTGATATGTTTAGTCTGTTTTTCATTCTGCCTGGTTTTCTTATAAAATATTTCTCATTTTAAGGGCTCTGGAAAGAAAACTTTAGCTAGAAAACTAGCAGAGAGATGGAAATGCATTTTAATAGAAGGTAAACATATGCTATATTTGGATTATGTTGCACTGACTTCACAGTATCTTTTGGTTTGGAATGCCCTTGCTTTTCCCTGTAATTCAGATGGATTGTTTCTGATTGCAGCACAGACTTCTGGTAAGGACCAAGTAACCATTTTGCCAGAAATACAATTGCTGAAAATGGCCTTTTCCCATCATAATCAAATTCTGTTCCCAGTCTTGTATGGTGATTCATGTGACCCTTCGTGTTCACATGGAGGCAACTCATTCAACTCCAGAAAGCACAGGAGGAGGATCTTTCCTTTCTTTGTGTGCTGTGTCCAGTACAAGGGGGATGTACTCCAGGAAATAGAAGCATAGCTGCTACATCACTCTAAGTAATGATGGAAGGAACGAGGGCTGGCACTTTCACCTTTCCAACCAACACCATCAGATGGCTTATAGTAGAGGGTGTAGTTAATATCTCCCACACACATTTACCAGAATACAAGGTATCTTTCATTTTCTGAGCTAGCAGGCTCCATTTCTGACAGTCCCTCTCAACAAAGATTTTTGAGGATCTGAAGAGTAAAACCTGTTGTTTATAACATTATCTTATGCCCTATCAACACATTGCTTGAGATTTTCTTTTCATTTTGAGGCATCTCAACCAGAAAGGAGGTTCCTACAAAAAGTAGTTAAGTCTCTGGCAGTTTTATTTTTTACTAATTTTGTCAGCAGTAACTAAAAAACTATTTTAAAGTGTAATTTTTTTAAGCCCTGGTAATATCTTTATATCTGTGACATGATAACTCACAAATCGTGATTCTTTCACTCGAGTTTTATGAAAAAGGAAACTTTTCTAGCAGGTTTGTCCTACCACTTTGAAGGCTAATGTAATCTTTTTAAGCAGAAGAAAAGAAAGCACAATATAACCTTAACTAGGAAGTAGTTTCTTGAGAGCCTCTTTGGGGACACCAAATTATAAATCTGATTTTATGGTATATATGTGTACAGTTGTTTTGATTATGAAATAATTCTTTACATGTCATTTATCCTTTCATTTTTCTTGTCAATTTGCCCCCTGGCATTTTTTATTGCTCTAAATAAAAGGCCTCTTGTGACAGCCTAACACTTCATATTGCTGTGAGTACATGGGGTTATTTATCAAATTAAGTATCCTTAGCTTCTTTTGAAGATTTGAAATGGTAACATGGGAAAGTTAATTTTTAACAAAGTGCCTCTTTGACTTAGGGAAATTAAATGCGCAGTATTGTATAACAAAAAATTAATTCCTGGTCCAAAACATAGAAATTCAGCATACATAAACATGAATAATTTAGCTCAGAAAGAACCTCCAGAGGTGAATGAATCCAGCTTTCCACTCAAAGCAGTGTCAGCTAGAGAGGGTTGCTCAGAGTTATGTCCAGTTGAATCTGGAATATTTTCAAGTATGGAGACTCCGCCTCCTTCCAGAGAAACATTTTGCAGTGTTTGACTACCTTCATGATGAAAAATTTCTTCCTAATTACCCCATTCAAATTTCTCATGTTTCTACTTGTATCTATTTCCTCCTGCCCTGTCTGCACTTCTGTGAAGACAGTGGTTCTGTCTTTGTGACTTCCCAGTAAGTGTTTTTAGCAGTAAGAGCTGTCTGGTTTTCTCCAGGCTGAACAAGGTCGGTGCTTTTGGCCTCTCCTAGGACATTCAACACTTCTAATCATATTGGTGCCCTCCACTGGATTTGCTCCAGTGTGTCAATATCTATTCTGTGCTGTGTTATTTATTAAAAATAAACCAAGTAGAGAATTATAAAATAGGAGAGATGTCCACAGTCTTTTTAATTTGACATAATACTTCCCATCCATTTATCCATCAAATAAGTTGACACTCCTAAATAAAATGGCCAGGGTGCTCACAGGGTGCTCAGTTGTCTCCATTGTTTATCAGTACATTCCCTGTCTCAGTTTTGGCCCGTGGCAAATCCTGCTCTCCCAAACACCCATTCACAGTATGAGGGATGGGATGTGCAACAGTCATCATTGCTAGCAGGAACAGTTTGGAAACAGCCACTGTGTTTTGAGAAGAAAGATGTGTGTATGCATGAGCCACTTGGCTTCAGGACCTTTCCCTGGCCTGTTTGTTTGTAAAGTACATCTCTGCTCATTTCAATGGTACAGAAGTGTGAAAGACTTCCAGGGTCATTCTGTGATGATGTCACTGTCCACAGAGAGAGAAGGTAGTCTTTAAACTTAATGGGTGTCAAATTTGGTATTTATTTAATCTTAGATAATTGGACTATGTAAGGAGTAAGTTCTTAAGGGCTTTTTTAAAGCAGATGGTTTTCTGTGTCTAAATCTTGCTTTTAAAGTGTAAGAAGTGATTGAGCTCAAACACTCATCTCTGGATTACAAAACAGTAATGCTGATTTAATATACATCAGTAGTTAAAATAATCCTGCAAAACTGCTGTTGTGCA